TCCTTGTATTTAATCAAAAAGTAGTCTTGAGCAAAGTTGTAGCTGGGAAAATTTTCAACAAGAACAGTTGACAACTTTTGAAGCAGACCGATATGGTGAATTATTAGATAGACATGAACAAAAATCTTGGTTTTACCATAGTAATTCGGACAAACTTCAAATGGTTTGTGCCATCTCAGTTTCTCACTAAATGGGTTCAAATTTTCAGTTCAAATTAGTCAGGATCCGATTTGAAATCGTTTAAGTATTGTGGAGCGAAAATTTCAAATTTTGCATCACTCTACTGCGCACTCCTCAGCAGATGTGACGGCAGGCTACGAGAGCACGCAGCGATCGTCTCTCGCCCTCTTCCTCATCATTGCGAGTGGACGCTTGGGTAAGTACAAAACCTGCAACCGGATTCCTCAGTAAATGATGGAACTTCACATTGGCGATCCTGCCAGGTCATTCCTGGGTCGTGAAATTTGGCTTGTGGAACGCCACAAGGTGTGTCTGGAAGACCACCGGAGCTTTGATTGAAAGAATTGCGTATTATGTGGTTACAAAACGTCACAAGGTGTGTCTGGAAGACCACCGGAGCTTTGACTGGAAACCTCGTGTATTTGTTATAAAGCATTGTGCATTTTTTGTGGCTAGGAATGCTGCAAGGTGTGTCTGTAGGGCCACCGGAGCTTTTTCTAGTTAATAGCCAAGAACGATGTAAACAGTGTCTCCAAGACCCCCGGAGAATTGATCCAAAACGTTTCGTAGACTGGCATGACACATTGTGTGTCCGGAAGACCACTGAAGAATGTGCAGTCTGTGCAGTTTTACTTAAAGATGGATGTGTCTCGAAATCCATCGGAAATCGACATGCAATGGCGTGTCTAGAACACCGCCAAAATATTGTTATCAGTGGTATTGAATACCCCCCGCATAGAGATGCTAGCCGCTCACTGCTTACTACGAACATAACCCTGCGCACTCCTCAGCAGATGTGACGGCAGACTACGAGAGCACGCAACGATTGTCTCTCGTCCTCTTCCTCATCGTACCGTCATTCCTCAATCTTTTCGATCTGTGTTGCACTACCCGACGTGTCGGTCATGATTATTTGCCCTTTACGAACAGAAAATATAGTCGATAAGCTTAAATTTATGCGGATTCACCCACACCAATGTCATCTATTGGTAGGGGAGAACATTGCTTATCCGATACTGATGTTGGTTTGCCTTCCACAATTTAACCTTGTTAAACGTTAATGCACGCCCAATCGATTCTGCTGACTTGAACTTTATTTAAAATGCTCCTCCGAAATCTGGTAAGTTGCATCCATCTAAACGCGATCCGCATGCAGGACTATCACGCAATTGGTAATTTTGCGCAATGGCGGGTTTCGCATGGGAATGCTAAATTTTATCGTATTCATTATTTCTATTTATAATAAATAATCATTTCTGACATATGCTGAATCTCAACATTAATTAGAAGAACAACAAATTTAGGAAGAATTGCCCTCATTTCAAAGTCGATAAAACTTCCAAAAGCATTTTAATTTATATTAAATAATTACATATATAAGAAAGTAGTTCAGCTTTTAAAAGAAGGCAAATTAATCTCATGAAACTTTTAAATCCTGGATTTGAAAAAATGTACAAGAAGATTATTTGTGGCAAAATATATTACGGCGAAATGACTCATCCTGATTTTTTTTTTCTGTGAAATGGCCTTTGGCGAAATGTCCCGCTCCCGTTAAGAACAGTTAGTAGTTAGACAGAAAATATGTGTGAATTGAATTGACATCGATAATAGATACACCTTATCGTCAGTTTTTTTTTCCGTTTGGGTATATTCATCACTGCGACCATTACTTTGATCTATTGTGATATTCCCCGTTTTTATATTGCTTTATCAGTTATGTCGTATCACTATTTTGGTATGCGACTCACATAGACTGACCAGAAGCATTTTCCCAGCCAGGTATTACATTTCGAATGAAATGTACTACTTGACTGGGACCTGCATTCCAAATATCAAAGGGTTCTGCCAGCCCTTTTTCCAGAAAAATACGCCTTTTATTAAAGATTGCTGGACAAGAGCATAGCAGATGTTCAGAGTCTTCCTTTTTCTATGCCACAGAATCGACACATATCCTCTTGAAGTTTTCCTAATAACTTCAAATGATATTTACATGGACAATGTCCTGTTTTCAATCCAGTATAGACACTGAGATCTTTCTGTGATAATTCAAAAATTTGGCTAATCATTGAAATGTTCGGAATTATGAACCGATTCGACTGCCTAGCAATGGAAGTGAAGTTGGTCTCCACTTTCATTTTATCCATTTCTTGATCTCCATTTTAAGAGAACAAGCAGAAACTCCACAGAATGGTTCTGGTCCTATGAATTGCTGAGGTGATCCTAGCCTGGCTAACGTGTCGGCTTTTTCATTTCCTTCAATGGCCAGGAACTCAATATAGGTTTACTTGGTTTAGACAGGCCAATTTATGAAGTGACATTGCACATACCCATACGAGTTTTGAATTGCATGTTGCTGATTTTAAAGCATTTAATGCTGCTTGACTATCAGACATAATTACATAATTACATAATTACAGAGCATTCAAGAATTGCTTGAATTTCTGCTTGGAACACGGTTGGCCAGTAGCCCATAGATATTGAGATATCTATCCCTGGACCAGTTACCCCTGCTGCCACACGATTGTTCGATCTTGAACCTTCTGTATAAAAAACAGTGATCAAAATCTGCTTCATTGTATAAACGATCGAAATTATATTTTTCTCCATCCAGTCTTCATTTTGAATACAAGAGATTCAATATCAAACATTTTTAAAATACTAAGGTGTCCTGTAAGATCACCTTCAAGGAAGTACTTTGTTCGTTGAACCCTTAAAGCACTTCTTTCAGCTTCTTATTGGATAATTTGATGGAACAGAAGCAGATAAAGTAGAGCATCTAGTGACATACTCGGTGTGCTGTTCATTGCACCAGTTATTGAGAAAGTAGTAAGTCCTTGCAGTCTCCCCAGCTTCTTCTGAGCCGATTTTTCATTTCACCAAACCGCATCATTGATTATTCTGGGATAATCTGGGTCTTACAATCGTCAAATAAATGTAGTGGATCATTTGTGGTTTTAGGGCCCATTTCCTACCAAAAGTTTTCTTACTTATCCAAAGAGCATTTATTGCCTTATTAACAACCTGCTCTATATGTGAATTCCACTTAAGTTTACTGTCAATAATGACTCCCAGATACTTGACTGTTCGTGAAAGTTCTAAAGAAGTTTCTTTCAATGTTAAGTTATCTATAGAAAATATCCTTTTCCGTGTGAACGTGATCCTAGAATGGTTTATATTCAACCCTTCTTTAGTGCACCACGACGAAATAAAATTTAAAGCAGTTTGCATTATATTTGAAATGATATTATCAAATTTTCTTCGTACTATTATGACTATGTCATCAGCAAAGCCAATTATCTCGAAGCCCTTTGCTTCTAATATGTACTAGCCTACGTTGGTTGACGAAATAAATAAAAATAAAAAAATAAGTTTTTGAGACGTTTGTCGATAATTAAAGACCATAAAAGAGGAGAAAGAACACCTCATTGAGGACACCCTTTTACAGCTCTAACTGTTATGGATGAGCTTCCAAGATTCGCTGAGATTTGTGAATTTAGAAAGCATCTCATTAATCCACCTAACGATGCTTTTGTCGAATCCACTCTTCAACATATTGTTTTTCATGGAGTTATAAGATGCATTATCAAATGCTCCTTCAATATCAATGAACGCTGCTAGTGACATTTCTTTTGATTCAAAAGATTTTTCTAGTTTTATAACAAGCGTGTGAAGAGCTGTTACTGTTGATTTACCAGCTTGATATGCAAACTGATATTTACTCAAAGGAATTGTAATCAAGTACGTTGATTTTATATGCTGATCTGTTATTTTCTCTATTTTTTTGATGATGATAAATTGATCGTCCTGAAGGATTTAGAAGAAGTTTTATCCTTTTTATTAGCCTTCGGAATAAATGTAACCTTTACTTGACGCCAAGTTATCGGAATATAACTTAATCTTAAGCTTGCTCTTAACAAGCCTGTTAGAATGGGTGTCAAAGTTCCTATTTCTTTCTGAAGTATTACTGGAAAAATTCCGTCCCTACCTGGTGATTTGAAAGGTGCAAAAAAACCAATCGCCCATTCGACTCGTTTTTCTGTAAAATTTCTATTGGCCAGATTACGAGCGTCTTTCCTGGCGATCGTCTTTCCTGGCGATCTCTAACCCAGTCGATGCATTCATTGGTGTCTGATTTTCCGTCCTGATTTTTTCAGACCCAGTTTGTGCTGCACGTGTATTTTGGTCTTCATTTATGTTGATAATTGAACATGGAAAGTGTGTTTTCATCATTGTTTCTAATGTTTCTTCCACAGACATAGTAAAAGTGCCGTCTTCATATCGTCAGTTAAGACAACTGTCAAAAATACCACGTTCCGATCTTCAAGCATATCCTCTCTCTCTCTCTCTCTATGTTGATTGATCAGCTTGTAAAATAATAATAAAAAAAAAGAGATTTGAAAATCCACCAAAAAGTTGTTCATAACACTGATACGTCCTCCATCGATGACATAACCTCATTCGCTCTCGCTCAGTAGAAAAAAAGAAGGGAATGCAATTGAAAAGTAAAAAATAATTCAAAGCCTACTTACAGTTGTCGGATGGTCTTACGAGATCGATCCCATTTGACAGTTGTGCCATCAATGGGGCTCCGCTGAGAATCTCCCGAGCATTCCCGGACAACGTTGACAGGTTCATTTTTCGGATCTTCAAAACACTCACTGCCACGATGACGAGGGTGATGACGATGATGATGATGATGATGGCGATGTTATCGGTCAGTAGATGATGGTACGCTTAATGGACTAAAGTTAAGTGTTAAAAATGCAATTGTTTCTGTTGAACGGTTTCGTACTTAGAGCTAAAGAAAATAAAAACGTGTGTTTGTTTTGAACATTTTCGAACGCTTGTTCCAGTGTTTTTATGTATACAAAAACAGTGCTAACAGCTTGGTTTGTTTGTATGTTTGTTTATACTGTGAGAGAATGAGTACGGTCTCGTGACCCTTCTCTGTTTATGTTTTATGTATTAAATATGACTATAAACTATTCAACTATATACACATTGTTTTGTTTTGTTCTAATACGATTTTTGTTTGTTTGTCTGTTTTGCTCGTTTCGCAGAATAGATGTGCTAGCGGGTAGAGAAAGTGTGATAATAAATGTTATTTACACTAAACTGTAACTGTCGGTGTAAGAGCAGTATTACGCGGAATGTCCTCCGCAATTCTAGAGTGAAAACACGATCCTAATCTAACCAGTACGATCTATGGTATTTCTCTTTATACCTACAATAAAAGCTACTTCTGCACTGACGAAAAAAAAAAACAAGACAAAATCGATGCCGACTGTCCGATTCAGATTTCCTTTCTTTTAAGCAAGTCTTTGGGACAGCACACTTTGATTTTGTTTTTGAGGAGTATTTCTCTCTGTTACACCTTCCTGTCACTTGCAATAAATAGCGTTCGTCAGCGCTTGTTCCGTTTTACTTAAAGACTAGCGTTGTTTAGCTAAAAAACTAACTTGTTTAAAAGAGTGTTTTTGTTTACATCCTGCTTCAAAAATCAATAGCTGAAAGAAGTTGGTTAAGATATAAACGGTGCAAAGAAAAGAAAAAGAAATACAACAAACGGGTGCAGTTCATTCTGGTAGTGCTAGGGTGCTTCGAAGAATAATAGGAGGAAAAAAAAGGTGAGGTTATGTTATCGCAACCACTCGCACATACGAACATACACAGATTAGAGGAAAGATTCAAAGTGCATCATCAACAACAACAACAACATCAGCCACAAAATCTCAGAACAAGGGAGCAGAGCAGTCAATCACGCTGTGTGTGTGTGTGAGTGTGTTTGTGAGTGAAGTTGAATCACCATTGCACGCTTTACACGCTTACGTTCTAGAAGGAGGGGCGGGGGGAGAAGAGTATTAAACAAACAATTACGGAAATACGGGTAGGGCGTTACTCCCTTTGAGGTTAGAATAAATACCGTTCACACACAAATACACAAACGCTCGTCACCATGGTCAACAATATCGGCAGATTATAGGTATACCAGGGGTGGGACACATACAACAAGCAGATTAGAGTAAAACCAGGGTCATATTTTCAAATAAACAAGGTTAGAAGAAACAACAATAAATTAGTTAAAATCTATGGCATCTCGTTGTTTCGGAGGATTAGAGATAAAAAACATATTTTGAAAAAAAAAATAAACAGTTATAACTGGACAGACAGGTTGCCAGAACGGAAATGCATTCGCGTGCGAGCTGTTCTCCCATAATAACACGCTACATTCATGATAAAGGTGAGAGGGGTGTGTTTGTTTGATTGTTTGTTTGTTTGGTTGGTTGATCGGAGGGCGGGGGTTAGGGGTTTAACTGACCTCCCCGGTTCGCCGGAAGAAGTACGACGGTATGCTGCGTGGCTCGAGGCGCTCTTCGCTCTCGCTTTCGTTGGTGCTGCGATCACCGAGAATCTCCCGATCCAAGCTGGCAGCCTCCAGTGCAACCGGATCCGGATCGCTGGTCAGGGCCCGGGTAAGCTCATCGTTGTCCAACTCCGGTCGGTAGACGGGCGAGTACTGGCGTTCCTGCCGCTGTTCGCCCGAGACGGATTTCGTGATAAAGTCCGGATGGTAGAGGGAAGACAGTGGAACACTGTACTTGTCGTTCTTGCTTTCGATCTTGAGCTCGGTAGCCAGATCCGGTTTGAACACCGGTAGAACGTACTTGATGTTGAAGTCCACCTTGGTCACAGGTGCTTCGGTTGTGGTGGTCGTTGGCGTTGTGGTAGTTGCCGGAGTCGTCGTGGTCGTTAGCCTCGTTGACTTGACGGTAGTTGCCTTGGAGGCGGCTGCCTTTGGCAGTTGAGCTACCTGAATATCCTTGGACTTTCTGAAGGACAAACCGTCACCTTGGGATCGCAGTGCTATCGAGGGAACGTACTTTCTACTGGTGCTTTGTACTTTTTGGGTGGAGGTGCTGTGAAGTGGTTCAGTTACCTGTTCGACTGCGACAGCCGGTTCATCTTCACTTGAGTTTTCGTTAGTGTAAATAAAGTCTAGTTGTGGTCGGTAGACAGTAGTAGTCCTGGGACGCTTCGTGTATTTCTTCTTTGTCTCCGCACTGGGAATAACCAGTGGGCGTACACGCTCCGGAGCTGGAGTTTCAGGAGCTGCCGTTGATGGCTCTGGAGTTGTTGTTGTTGTTGTCGTCGTTGTCGTGGTGGTTGGGGCAGCGGTCGTAGTCGTGGTGGTCGGTGGCATGGTTGTTGGAGCTGCCGTAGTTGTTGTCGGTTCTTCGGATGGTTCTACGAAAGCAAACTCCGCCGGAATCGTGTACTTGTGAACAATCGGCGTAGAAGACGAAACTGGGACCTCGGTTGGAGGTAGAGTCGTTGGGTCCTCCGTAGTCGTTGTCGTCGTCGTCGTCGTAGTCGATGTCGTGGTAGTCACCGTCGAAGACTGAACCGGCATTGTCGTTGGCAACTCTTCGATGTAGTCATCCGTAGCCTCTTCCTCCTCGTTCACCGTACTGTCTTCAAAATCTTCGCATCGTTCCGTATCCGGCTTAAGCGGAGAAGTAGTTACCTGAGTGTAGCGTTCCGTTTCGGCAATCAGAGGCGTTATCGTGACCAGTTCTTCCTGGTCATGCTCCGTCGATCCAAAGTCCACACTAGAGATACGTTCGATCTCCACTCGTGGTGCAACGGTCGTCAAATCTTCCTCCATGTTGAACTCGGTCGTTTGAAATTCCGTGCGACCGGTTCTTCCATCCTTATCGGCATCAAACAAACCCTCCAGCGGAATCGTGGACGTTTCCACATTGAAGATATTATCGGCGAACACTAGCGTTCGACTCTTCTTCTCCTTCTCTTCGGCGGTTTCGGCCGTCTTGTTCTTCGGTTCAACCAGCCTGATAATGATCTTGCGATTGATTTCACCCAGCTTCTGCATGACTGGGATCTCGTCCGGATTGCTGGTGTTCTTCGTGTAGATCTCCACCACTCGATGGATCTCGACCAGTTTGTCCGCCGTCTTGTTCGTCGATGGCAGTTCGATCTCCTGCTCTTCCGTGCGGTAAATCTCCGTCGACGACGGCATCGATTCGCTCTCCTTGTCGATCGAGAATATGTGGTAGAGCGTCGTTGGTCGGACCGTGGTGGTGGATGTTCTACTACGTTCCTGCAATACATTGACATCATCAATATCGATATTATCATTAATGGTGTAAATTGTGTCGGCCGTATTGAGTGTCGTGTACAGAGTTTCATCGGATGCTGTGTAGTATTCGGTTGTAGTTCTGACTGTGTTGATTGTATCTTCGTATGACGTGGTGTTCTCGATTTCGTTCTCGCTATCGAGTGTGGTGGGTGTGGTGGTTGGCTGTGACGGTGATTTCTGCCCAATTGGCAGCACCGACAGTATCGCCGGAGTCTGTGATTCTACATTCCGGAGTGTCGTCTCTGGTTGGATTAGGTCCGAGCTTTGCTCGGTTGTTGTTAGTACTACTGACGGGGAACGATTGAAAAGATTTGCTCGGGTTCGACTTCCGCCCACAGGTAACGAAGCGGTCGTAAAGTTCGTCTTCCGCGTAGGCTTCTTCGGTTGGTAACGTCTCGTAGTCAAGACTCCTTGTGATTCGTTCACCCGTTGTGCTGCAACCTTATCTTCTCCGGAAGCTCCCGATGCGGTTGTAGACCGTGACCTACCGAAGATCGGCCTTGACCTAATGCTAGTAGTCAGTCGAGGTTTAGCCGTAGTAAAACTGCCACCAGACGGAGCGCTAGCGTTTGTTCCATTACTTGGTTTGTATCCTCCAACATTTCCAAATACCCTCCTAGCTCTCGTCGTGATTGTCCTGGCTGTAGTCGATGATCCTTCCTGATCCTTGTTCGAGAAAATGAACCTTGTATTGTTTCGCGGTGCCTGCACTCGACTTCCCGATCCTATAATCCTCGGTCCAGGTCTCCTGAATCCTACAACCTCCGCTGAACCTCGTTCCCGCGATCGTCCACCCTCATCATCTAAATTATTGATTCCACTTCCTAACTGTCCAAACAATCTCTTACCCTGCCGTTGAACTTCGTTCTCGCTGTCCTCAACCTCTCCGCTGAAGCGTCCCGTCACTCCATCCCTTTCTTCCGATGACGACGGACGTCTGGTCTCGCTGTACCTGCGCGTACTCGGTCCATACCGCTCGCCACTGGTTTCCTCCTCCAGTGTGGTTTTCTCGTCCGTTTCAAAGTCCGTGTACGCTTCCGTGGTGGTCGTCGTTGTACGAGCGAATATGTTTGGTCTTCGCGGAAGCAACGCCGACGATGGTCGGCTTACCCTGCTCGTGCTAGGCTTCACAGCTGCTGGTGCCACTGAACCTTTGTCGAACGAATCCTCAAACGACTGCGGTCGTGGCGTTCGGCTAGTATTGAAAGTTGGTCGCCGACGGGTTGGAGTCAGTGGTCGGCTGGAGGACGCTTCCGTATCATCTCCGGCGCTCGTTGCAGTGGTGCTGGATGTTCGGGTGCCAAAATTCACTGGAGTTCGCCGGCGAGATGGCGTAAAGGAACGACTCGTCGAGCTTGTCGGTTGATCCGGCTGATCCTGCTCGGTTGGGCTCTCAGTTGTGCTGACGGAAGCCCGAGCTCTTGACAACGAGAAAGATGGACGGTTTGAACGTGAGGGAATGAATTTCTTTATAGTGGATACTTCCGGAGATTCCGTTGTTGTGGTACTCAAGGCACCAAACTTGCGTCGAGTAGTTCCAAAGTTACGGTTGGGACTGCGACTGGGAACCACTTCCGATTCAATCTGTTGATTGTCGTTGAAGCGTTGCAACACCGGTCGTCTGGACGGAAGACGAGTTGGAGTTGTTTCGGTAGAAGGTTCACCGGTGACGATGGTGGACAGCAGTTCAGTGGATTCTTCCGAATTGTTCTCTTCACGGGAATCGGGTAACTGCCGTCGCATAAGATTATCGCTCGTGAGAACTTCGTTGGTAATGAAGGTGGATTCGATTTCGTTGGATACGTCTGAAATAACGGTCGTAAAGTCGGAGTTTCCTACGGCACTGTCCGGATAGGTTGGTTCAGCGGTGAACGGTTCTGCGGTAGTGGTTCCAGCCGAACGAAACCTGCTTGTCTGGACTTCAGCACCCGTGGTGCTGGCGGTGGTGGAACGTCCAAACGGTAGTCGTTGGCGTCTGGTGAATCCAGCAGGGCGTTCTCGTCGAACTTCTTCAACGGGTTTTTCGCTTGTGCTTGCCGTTGTAGTGAGTTTTCGACGACCCAAACGACGTCTACTTACGGTTGTCGAGATTCCTGGTGTCTTCTCTGTTATTTCGTTATTATCGCTATCTGGAGAAGACTCTGCGGTGGGGGTGGCAGCTGTGGTGGTGTAGAGTGTTGGCCTTTGACGCCGGATGAAAGGCGATGGTCTTCGGGAAGGTTTCTCCACGTCTTCATTGGCGATGGCATTCGTGTTTGGAGTTACAAAAGTTTTCCGCGTTGGGAACTTTGATCTGAGAGTCGATGCTTCATTGGCTACCGCTTCCGAAGAGCTAACCGTGGTGGACGTGCGGAATCGACTTGGCCGCGTTGGACGAGGTCGTCCCGGGATGAATGTCTTGTTGGTGTTGACTTCCGATATTACGACCTTCAGCGTGGTGTCACTGGATTCCGTGGTCGTTGATTGTGATCGACCGCGAAGAGTGGTTAAAAACCTTCGCAACCCTGGTGTGGTTGTTTCCACTTCAGCCGCGTTCACACTGAACACGGTAGTGTAGTCATTGGTGCGTTCCTGATCACCGATGGTGGTGTCGACCGCAGAAGAAGCACGCTCGGAAGTTGGTCCGGCAGCTGGATCCGTAGCCATCTCGTTGATGTCTTCTGCGAGACGGTTATCGATAGTGTCTTGCGAACTAGATTTTACCGTGGAGCGTTCGCGTTCGCGAGCTACATTCGTGATCGGTGAATCGTTTACGGTTCCTTTGACGAGTCGAGGTTCGGTATCCTGAACCTTTCGTGCGTTCAGCTCATTACGATTACTGAATCCGTACTGTAAAGCAGTTCCCAGCGTAAGCAGAATACGCTCTTGAGTCTTGAACAGATCCTCGTCGATTCCAGAGTGGGATTTGACCTGCAAATTGATGACCGGCGAATCCGTTTCAATTTCCGGTTCAACCGTGGTTGTTGTGGTCGGTTCGGTACTTGATCTACCGCTGTATTGATTAAAGTTCAACCTCCTGAGTGAAGCCCTAGCAGTTGATTGCTCAACTGGCTGCTCCGCGGTGGTGATTCGTTCGGTAGTAGTACTTGGTGCTTCCGCCGACACGCGGCTGGAAGCCCGATTCAAAGAGAAACGATTACGTGCAAAAGAGTCCGACTGTTGCCGGCGTCGAGTGGGCTCGGCTGCTACAACAGTAGCAGATTCAGTCGAAACGGAAATTGGTTCGGTAGAAGGTCCGAACCGTACTCGGCCTCGGAAGCCCCGAGTACGACTCGGGCGTGGACTCGGTTCGCTGGTGAAGGAATTACTAGCGTTACCTACCTCGTTATTGCTAGGATTCACGGCACCAGTTGTCGATCCGGCCACGCTACTTCTACGTCTAGCTGAAAGGTCAAATCTCTGGCTGTTGGCATAACTCACCTTGACCGAGCGTAGAGTGGTAGATTCTTCGGGAGCTGTAGCTGTCGTGGTTGCACTGCTCGATTGACGACGAGTTGGACGAGTACGCCGGGCCACCCCGCCAAACGGCCGTGGGGCAGCCTGCGTTTGGGTTAATTCGAACTCTTGCTTATTAGTGACAACTTCTAGGGGACTAGAGGTGGTGGTGGTTTTCCTAGTTCTTGGTGAAAATTTGTAAATCGAGTTAGACTGTTCATCGTTAGTACTGGTCAGCTTTTCGCTAGTTGTGCTAACGCTTGTTGTTGTTGGGGGACTGACGGGGGTGGTCGGAACCTCACTGTCGTAGGTGGTCGTCCCGGCTGGCTGCGAAGACGTCAGCAACCTTAGCTGATCCTCGCTATCCGGAATCCTAGGATTAACGCTTTCACCACTAGTACCAACACTACTACTAAAAACACTCGCTTCCAACTCACTAACACTACTACCAGTAACACTCTCACCTAGGTTTAGTAAAGTGGTTACCTCGTAGGTCGGTTCGTTCTTGCTATAATCTACGGTCACCGCGTCGTCCGTCGTCAGGCTGTCCGAGTCGGCCGTTCTACTTAAATCTAGATCGGAAACAGTGTGTAACGAACCGTCCCGCTCGGGAAGATCCGTCTGTAAGTCTGTATTGAAGTTGTACTGTACATTGTATACGTTTGATGTTGTAGTGGTGGTGGTGGTGGTTGGAATGGACTGCGTTAGATCCGTAGCGCTTGGGCCACCGGTCTGTGGTGTAGCCTCGGTCGTGCTGCTACGTTCTAAGCTGGCGTACTGTCGTGTATTGTACGTGATAAACTGTTCTGGTGCATCGGTAGTGGACGATGTAGTGTAAATGGTTTCGTAATCGGTAGAAGGTACCAAGAGAGACGAATCAGTGCCTACATCATCTTTGTCACCTTCCTGCAGACGGTTGTACTGCGCGGTAGCTCGACGACGTTCGATCGTGTTGTACCTAAAACGTGAAAATCATAAACATGGTTCCGAAATTACAAGACCCCCACAGCAAACAACTCACCGGCTTGGCACCCGTTCAACCTCCTCTACGGTTTCTTCCGTAGTCGTCTGCCGGAACCGGTTCCGGTTCACACTACTGTACTGCTGCTGCTGCGGTTGCTGCTCATGCTCCTGTTCCTCTTCCTCTTCGACATCCGCATCGGCAACTGTGGTCGGTCTCTGTCTGCGAATGCTCACATACTTCGGGCTGGACGTCGGCCTCCGGGTAGAATAGGTTGAAGGCTGATTCTCCTCCACATCGATTGCATCTTCATCAGACTGATCGTCCGCATCCTCCTCAATGCTAGCCTTGGTCGGTCTCGCCCGGTTCAGCGTCACGTACTTTGGCCGTTCCTTGAACACTCCCTCAAACTCCGGCAACTGCTCGATTCCTTCGTTTTGGGCGGTTACCCGACTGTTCGTGTAAGAGTTCGAATTCGTGTTCCTCACCACCGATGAGTATTTGTTCTCCGTCGAACCGCTTTTGTCCGTCTGCGTAAACGTCAGTGCCGGTCGGAACTTCTGCAGACCATTACCGGCCCTGCTCAGAACCCGCTCGTACAAACTCTTGCTAATCGTGGACTGAGTCGTCGAAATCTGATCCGCCTTTTCACTCTTTAGCACAATCGAGCCATCTTCCTGGGCTTGCAGTTGGCGTTCAAGTTCTTCAATGCCTCCAACCTTCTTGATCAACGCAATCAACTCTTTGATTACCTGCGGATCTTCCTCCGACTGAACCTCGTCCTCTTCCTCGTCAGAGTAATCGATTTCGATCGGAGGTTCCGTGGTGGTCGTAGTGGTTAGAGCCCGGTTGAAGAAATTGTTCCGACTCGTGGCAACCGTAACGCGGCTTCGTGGTGCTGGCGTTGTAGTCGTGGTCGTTGACGTTGACGTTGTGGTTGTCGTGGTAGTCGTAGATGGGGCGGACTTCGAACAGGCCACATTGCGAGCGTAGTCACAAGAATCGGCAAGCTTGTTGAACACCAATCCAGAGGGGCACGTAAACTGATGGGCAACGAGACCGAGACCGGGCGCGTCCAGACACCAGAAGTACTTCTTGCAATCGCGTGGATGTTGGAAAAATCCCTCGTCGGTACACTTGAAGTCTGCAATGAAAACAATGGTTATTCAGATCTGAGGTAAAAACGATTTCTAGGAGATTTGAACCTGCTCCCGGATCCGGAGTGGTTGGTGGCTGCGGAGTGGTCGTACGACCTCCAATGTACAGCGAGCCTTCAGTCGTGGTAGACGTAGTGGTTGTAGTTGTTGCGCGTGGTGCTGGCCGGCTGTTCTTCCTGCTCTGGGAGCTCTTGAACGAAGACTTGATCTCAATGTTGTTGTCGGTCGTCAATCGATTACGGGTACTGGTTGCTGGTCGGCTACGCGATCTTGATGGCTTCTTCCGGGAGCTTGGAGCAGCAATGTCGTTGACACCAACACTATTAAATCAAAATCAGACCATTAACTTCAGTCCTTACTACAAATATGCAAAGGATACTCACTCCGTACTGGCAAGCAGCGTCTCCTTGGCGGCTTCGATGATCGGGTATGGTTTTCCATGGCACGTTCCTCGGAAGTCATCGTTATCGATCGACCAGAACATGACACCTCCCAGTCCTTGCTCGGCTACGTACTTGGCCTTCTTCCTGGCTATGGCTTCATCGTCATAACTAACCCACTGGTTTCCCTTGTAGGCGTACGGGCCCATAGCACTTGGGTTCGGTTGAACCACAGTCCACTCGGGGTCTTCCTTCACTGCGGTACAGATTTCGTAGTAGGACAGATATCCCTTCTCCCGAGTGGCATCACCCTGATCACCAGGGCCGTCCGCAGGCGATCCGATTTCGGTGGCGTCCGGGTTGTACAGCGTGTACGATCTACCGTAGGTTGGAATGCCCAAAACAAGCTTGTCCCGGTCGGCACCGGCGTTCAGGTAGAACTTGATGCTGTAGTCCTTGGGGTGGATAAGTGCATCGTTAGTTTGGGTATCGGAATGTGCATGGCGGTTAAGGGGGAATGATATTGAAATTATTAAAATGTCCTAAGTAACGACACATGATAAACCATATTCATAATGTCTATGTTAATCATTACCTCCCATGAAATTGTGTTTATAACAGTTCAGAAATTATATGTAGAACACTTCTTACAAAAATCATGGAATTCATCCTACGATTAACTTCTAATATATAATGATTCTTCCATGAATTCATTGAAGCATTTTTCATGACTCTAAATATTTAAACTCCGCTTGAAATCTTCATCGAATTTTCATGAATTCACCTAAGAAAAGTCTCGAAATTCTTCTCAAAATTTCCTTGTAATTACTTTCAAAATTCCCTCACTTCCCTCGAAGTTTCCTCACTTTCCTTAAAGTCAATAGAACTGCCTTGAACTTCTTTGATACATCCTGGAATTTCTGTAGTTTCCCTGAAGTTTTACCCAACAAACAATTTTAGCTGCAGACTAGCTTGTACAGACAAAACATAACCTGCATAAGGCAAATTTTGCCTGTGTAAACTAAAATTGTTAGTTGGATAGAAACTTCAATGAAGCTCATGAAACTTTGCAAAACATTCCTTGCCCATACCTGAAATTTTCGTTTCTTCTTAAAGTTCTCTAAATATTTCAGAAGTTCTCTCAACTTTTCAAACGTCCCTGCAGTTTTCTTGAAGTTCGTGGATCTTTCCTGAGGACCTCAAAATTTTCCTGAAATGAGCTTTTTGCATGTTCCTGCAATTGCTAAATGGAACTGCTCTGAAGTTCTCTGATATTCCTCGATGTACTCCTAAGTTCCCTGAAAATAATGAAACTGCTTAAAAATCACGAAACTTCTCTAAAGTTCTTTGGACTTTGTTGATTATCTCGAAATTTTGCAATTTTTTTTGGAAATTCCTTAAGTTTCTCAGAACTTCTGTAAAGGTCCTGCAGTTGCCTTGAAGTTCTACGATCACCCCTAATGTTCTTGAAGCTATCTTAAAGTTCTCTCAATTCTCTTGAAGCTCTTTGTCAGTTTACCTGAAGCTAATGGAACCACCGTGAATTTATCGAAGCTTCCCTGAAGTGCCCGAGATTTTACAAAATTGCTCGGAATTTCATTTCATTTAATTCGTCGGAACTTCCCACATTTTTTGTGGATCCTGAAGTCCATTAAGCAGAGCACTCTAAAGATCTCTCAAGGGTCGTCCACATTAGATCCGTTTGCGTTGCTTTGGCGTAAATTTGACAGTTAGAGAATAAATTTGGCTGTCTGTTTGCCGCAACGCATCTGATCCGGGTCTAATGTGGGTGGTTCTTGTGATTTTTCTGAGTTTAATTTCTGACCTAAGTTCTCGAAAATTTTCTAGGAAAAATTTGGAAGTAGGCTGTGCGTCCGTACGGCCGTGACGTTTGTTTTCTTTGCCGCGTTTTATGTGTGATAGCTTGCAGCATTTTCTGCGGTTCGAAAATCCAGTGATGACCTGTGTTATATTTATACTTGGGTGCTGATCTGGTCAACAACTACCATAGATGGACCTGGATTCGATTGCCCGGTTCAAGATGTTATTTTCACGAGCAGCTCAATTCCTGGCGCAAATGGCCAATCATCAGCAACGGAAGATCTTCCATTCGGAACACCACGAGTGCACGTACATCGGCGGTCTGCAGGACCTACAATATCCCCCAGCTTGTTCCTGGAACCGCTGTCAAGCCACCAAACCCCCAACGTCCCATCGTTCAGTGCGATCATGTTGTCGAGGTAGGACTTTCAAGTGCCAGAGAGAAGCGTACAGCTGACAAACGTCAAATGGAAATCGGGAATTTGGTTAACATTGGAGGCATTTGGTGAGATCCTTCCATTACACTGTATTTTATATACCATTCATTACATTGTATATTACTGTTACATTCACTCATAACCTAGCTCGGAGCGTTTGGTACGGTATGTCCACGCATCCTTCCACCCCTGAAGATTCACGAAATGCATCGCTGTTTAGATATACCATGCCTATTTTGACAAGATGTTTTTTAAAAACCTTGTAACACCATCATCCCTAGAGCACTAATAAAACTAATATTTGCAGAAGTAACATTTCAAAAATAATTATTCAAAACAGTCGAACGTTATTGATTGCGTCGATTTAGGAACTGCTTCAAATATGGTGCCTCCACGGTTTATTTGAACTCGAATCCTTTCACAGAATCATCTTTGCGGCAAATGCAACGCAGTAGGCCTGGCCGTTTTGATGTTTGTGTCATATCTCAGAATGCTGCAAACATCAATGTTGACAAGAAAAATGATTAGGTCTTATCTAACCTAATGATTTTCCAGGATGCTTTCTCGTACTGAGATTAGATTAAAAAAAAATCTAGAAGTTCTCGGAACTTTCTTGAAGCAATCGATATTTATGGAACTCTGAATAACCCCGACGATCGCGTAGCTTCACAGCAAAAAAATAATTTTGATATCACATCAAAGTGGATGCACTACAATCATGTCGAAAATTTCATGTAATTTTTATGACCACATAAATAAACAAATGCAGTAAAAGCAGCGTAATGTCAGCTCATGCATTTTATTAATAATAATTTTGTCCTTTTTAGCAAGTAATATTACACCATATTTTCGACATGATTGTAGTGCATCCACTTTGACGTGATATCAAAATTATTTTTTTGCTGTGTTCCCTTAAAAACTATAAAAGTTTTGAAGTTTTGGCAATCTCTGTAAAGTGCCTGAAGTTAGTGGGACTGTCTTGAAGCTCTTTGATCTTCTCTGTAACTGCCCTGAAGCTATCGCAACCAAACAACAAACAATTTGATCTGATTGAGAGCCAAATTTAGTTGAAGGAGCATATTTTTACCTGAACAAGCTCTTATTTGGCATTCAATGTTTATTGAAGATTCTTTACGTTCTCGGAACTACTCTGAAGTTTTCGGAACTGCATTGAAATTCTCAGAATTTTTAGAAAGGTCCCATAATTTTTCTAATGAATGGAACTAATATCTAGATGAACAATTCAAAAGGTGCTATCTGCATTGATCGGTTCTCTTCATCGACTTTCTCTTTCGTTAATAACTCAACTTCAAAAGCATTCCCTGCTATGGTCAACGTTCTAAGCGCAAGACAATAACTTCTGCTATCAAACTATGTGGCAAAAATAGCACGAAATGTGTTTCCGTAGGCGTGGTTATTAAAATAGATAGTCGATGAAGAGAATTGATCAAAGCAGATAGGGAATTTTGTAATGGTCATCGAGATTTAATGTTTTCAAAATATTCCTGAATTTCTCGGAACTTCATTAAAGTTGCCGCAATGAAGTTAATATAACTGTCGTGTAATCCTCCGATTTTCATTTTCCATTTAAGTTAACGATTTTTTTTTGAAATAATGAAACTGGCCAGAAATTAAACTTCTCTGAAGGTTTCAAATATTTCCTAATGTTCTTAGAACATTTCTGAAGTTTTCGAAATTGCTGTACAGAGTTCTGAACTAACCTGATTTTTTTAGACTTCCCCGAATTTTTCAGAACTTCCATAATGCTCCTGTAATTTTCCTAATATGAATAGAACTGCCCTGAAGTTGTCTGATATGTTCCACCTAGAAAAATACATGAAATCCGACCAACTCAATCGGCGATACATTTTTCAAGCGTTTGATTTATCGCAAGGGGCGGAGCTATAGTTCTTCACTTCAAGAACGGGTAGTGAAAATTGGCATCCAAAAAATTCTTAATGCATTTGGAGAAGTAGATAAAGGGTGAACACGGAATTAATACCGCACACATAGACAGCTGTAACTTCTTAACCACGTTACCAATTACTTGAAATTTTCAGTGATGAGTATTTTTTTCCATGATCTGTTTTTCGTCGATTTTGTTTTCCGTGCTGAGCAGCTCTCACACCTGGACCCTATCTATCGACCCATCAACTCATGAACCAATGACTTTACTTCCCTTCCGAAGGATGGCGTGATCAGAGATGATATGCCTCAGAACATCTCTAGCGGCGCCCACTGGGATTGAACCCAGGCCTGCTAGGGTGAGAGGTAATCACGCTTACTACTACACTACCGGCGCCATTTAGTAGTTAAATAAATTTTATGTATTTAGCGCTTTTTGCATGACATTGCAAATAAATGAAAAAAATGATTGAAAGTATGCAAAAGTTCTTTCTTAAAATAATCAAGAATAGATTAATTTCAAAGTTGTTTGCCATAAAATTTCATATATTTGAGCTGTATTGAATCAACTTTACACAGATAAAAATTCTGAATTTTAATTGTGATGTAAACGTTCATTCACGTACACTTGTATTTCATTTTACGCAACCGAGCAACTTACAAACAATGTTGTTCACAAAAATGGGCTTTTGAATACAATATTTGCTACATTGCATGAAATGTGTCAGAAATTTACATGATATATAATGTAAACGTATATGATATGTAACGCTCCATTTATGTGCATCATATTGAATAGAAATTTACACTACTTTTTCGAACTGTGTGTATTAAAGGGTATTAAAGAATTTTTATGCACTAGAAATATTTGTTTAGCTATGACTATGAAAACCTATTTTTTCAAGGTTAGGTTAGGTTATCTTTATTAGCGAGACTTTCAGGCAGAAGCTGGTTCATCTCTTGACGAATATTGGGGAATCCAGAAGGGGTCCCCCCCTTGTGACAGAATTTGAAATAGCGGTGGGGAGCCAGAAGGGACCCCCTAGCTATAGAGTTAATGAGGTCCAGAAGGGAACCACTAATTAAGAGGAGTGGACAGTCCAGAAGAGACCTCCCTAGTAACAGAGTATTTGTTTATCAGAGTTGGCTGTCAAGGTGCTGTCGTAGTTAGTAGATGTTCCTGGTTTTGTGCATTTGGTCGGCTAATTGTTATGGTGGTGTATTCAGAGTAAGTTATAGGGGTTGGTCCTGGTTCGATGCAGTGGGTCGGTAATGGTTGGTTCTTGTCAGTG